TAACAATAGCCATAATAATAACCAATAAGCAGGTCCAGGTGTGGATAGCTAACTGCTCTGGAGGACAGAAGCTCAGATGAAAGTCTGTTGTTCTCATGAACAATATACTCCTCCTCCTCCTCAAGCTTTTTCTTCTCTTCAGTTACTAACGAAAGGGTCCCACTTAAGTTTGCATTATCAGCTTGTAAGGCAACCATCAAGACCTTACAGGCGTCCAATTCTTTATATACTTCCCTATTCTCACGAGTTAGAGACTCCTTTTCCTCTTCCAGCCTCTTTTTCTCCCCTGTCATTAAAGCAACAGTTTCCTTTAAGTAGGAATTTTCCATCCCTTGAACTGCCACCAAAGTCTTTGATTCACCTAATTCCGAAGATAACACCTCAAGCTCATGGAGACAAGACTCCTTATCCTCCACGGGTTTCTTCTTTTCATCTGTCAATGAAGAAACATCACCATGTAACTTATCATTCTCCACCTGTAAATCTGCCACCAGAGTCTTGCAGACAGCTAACTCTGTCAGCAATTTCAGATTCTCATGGAGAGAAGACTCTCTGTCATCGACCAGTTTCTTCCTTTCATCAGTTTCTGAAGCAATAATCCCATTTAATTTCTGATTCTCCTCCTCTAAAGTGGCCACTAAACACTTGGCCTCAGATAACTCTATCAACAATTTAGATAGTTCACCTTGAGACCTTTCTAAGTTCAGCTGCAACTCATTAACTGTAGCAGAAAATTCATCTGCCTGTATCTTAGCAGCAGTAACTTCATTTTGCAGGTCCTCTTTCATGGCATCAACTGCCTCAAGCTTATACCTGCAATCTGCAAGCTCTTCAGCAAGGCATCCATTGCTCTCCAGGGCTGCATGGAGTGAAGCTTTAAGAATAGATATCTCACTGACCAGGTGATGACGCTGATCATCAAATTCCTTTAGTAAAGCTGACTGTTCACTAAGTTGGACTTGAAAAATATCTTTCATAAAATTTGAGAGGTATAATTCTTCTTTCAGTCTGTCAACCAAACAACCAGTGCCTAACTCTACATCAGGGACAAACTCTGCAGGTGAACTCAGCCTATCTATTTTAAGCGAGTCCTCAAGACTCCCACCCTCAGATAGAACAATGCTGCCAGGAAAATATTGTTCGTTATGCCCATCTGCAAGTCTGCTATCCTCTGAATCATCTGGAACTTCTATCTGACTATTACCAAAACTGTCAGACACATAATTAGATGAATCTGCAACAATACCTTCTATTTGGTGATCTCTAAGCTCGGAACCCATTCCAGCTAACTCAGCTGAAGCCAAAGAAGTTGAAAGACCATTGGAAGCAGCATTGATGGCACACTCAGAGACAGATAGATCACCTGGATTTTCGTTTTGGTCTTCTTCAGCAGCTGCCGCCTTTGTGCTAGTCTTTTCAAGAATTCCAACTAACTGCTTTGAACGATCCATTTCCTGCATTGCCCCTACCCAGCAACAAATGAGAACTTAATTATACATCAAAACTATAAAGTACTTGTCCCAATCCCCGTAAATGGTTCCCTATCGTACAAAATAAAATTATATACTGAAAAGCAACATGAAGAGACGGAGAGCACAACCTACATCTGTTACCTGATCTCCCCTTGCTTGAATCAAAGGACATATCAGAATATCTTCTTGTGGAGGCAATAGATCCTTCCCCTCTGCCCTATTTAAGTCCTCTTTTTCAATCTCAACACCAGTCCCCTTGATTTCATGAAAGGAATCTGGCAGGCCCAATGCATCATG